GCAAGATTGACATAAGAAAGGGGGTGGGGGTCCCCTTATTGCCTCCCCCCCTTATTGCCCTCTGCTTACGCCCCCAAACCCATCCTCCACTTTTCCCCCCTGTTGTTGCCCCCTCTTGCTCGCAGCCCCCAGAACTGAGACTGAGGACATCACCACCCTGGAGCCACCAACGTGTCATGTCCCCATCCAGGGGCAGGTGGGTGACAGCGGGGAGGCTGGTTGGGGCGGGGAGGGGGCATGTCTCCAGGGACCGAGTGGCCCACGTGTCCCTGTCCCTGGGGTGTCCTGTAGTCCCCAGGAGGACTGGAGGTGGGCATGGGGCAGGGGACCCTCCTGCAGGTCCTGGCCTGGGCCACCAGTACAGGGGGGCTGCCCCACATCTCTTGTCACTGCATGGCCACATGCACCTTCTCTGTTCTCATATTGTGCATCCTTATATAGTCCTTCTACCGTCTGCCCTTATATCATCCATCTTCATATTGTCATCCTTATATTGTCCACATCCTTATATTGTCCACCCTTATGCACCCTCTGGCTTTGGTAGCAGCAGGTATCCCCCACTGTGCCCTACAGATCCCTGAAAAGCCCCCCAGCACTGCCCTATAGCCCATGGTGTCCCCAGCTGTGCCCTATAGATCCCTGAAAAGCATCCCCCACAGCAGCCTCGATCTCCTCCTGCTCTTCCCAGCAGCCTCGGTCTCTTCCTGCTGCTTCCTGGCAGCCAGGATCTCATCCCAACAGAAGAGGAACCCAGGGAGAGAGCAAGATCCTTCACCTGGCCAGACCACAGGATCAGAATATGCTTCCGCCCACCTTCCCTATGCACGTGGAGCATGCCAGGTGTCCCTGTCCTCCAGCCATCTCCATCTGCACCCTCTGCACCCTTGGGGACCTCGTGTAGGATGCAAAACACCTGCCACACCTGCAATGCTGGAGGTGATGCTGGAGATGCTCCAACACAACTTTCCCTGCCCAATGTACACGTGGCATTGGCTGCACCAGCTGATTCAGTGGGCCATCTGAAACGCTTGCTCTTACCCTGTTCCTCCATGACTCCCGATGCCACCTGCCCTGGAGGAGGAGGCTTCTCCAAGCAACAGAGGCATCAGATAAGCCCTTCCCTGCCTCCGATGGTGGCTACTTTCTCAGTGCAACATTTGCAAGAGGATGCTCACCCAAAATCAGCACCCCGTGCAGAGGGGCAGTGCAAGAAGTGGTTTGAAACCCAGGCAAAGTGAGTAGAGCAAGTTACAGCTTCATTTCTTTATACCTTCGTGGCCATTTCTACCTTATTCAACCTTATTGAATGCACATTTTATTTAAACAACCGGAGGAAAAAAAATAATTGGTAAAAGGAGCTTGCTTTGCCTTCCACCCTCCATACAAAGGTCTCCCCAGACATTTGCCATGAGGCATGCGTTTCTGGGGGTGGTGGATACGAAGCAGCCATCAGCAATCTCCATCGGCTGACTGTGGCCATCAGCGAAACCCAAAACTGAATTCATAGCTTAGTCAGAGCTTCATTGTGGTGAACCCAAGGTTTCTTCCTGAGGTTAAATCCGAAAAGCAACCCCAAGCTGATGGCTGCCCCAGCTGCTTTTGACCCATGAGACTCGGTTGAAATCCTTGGGTCAACCATGGAGACCCCAGCCCAGACCAAAGTGAGCTGAAGAGGAGGGAAGAATTGTGAGGAAGACAGCAGCTTAAGCCAGGCAAGAAAGGAGAAAAAGAGCTAGATGGGAAGACATGATGTCTGGCATCATCTGCTTGGCAATTAATAACTAGGAGATCCTTGGCTGATCTGCTGACAGTTGTGATCCCACAGGCATGTCTGTGGCCTCACCACCCATGTTTGCCGGTGGGGACAGAGAAAAGGACCTCTTGCAGATGGCCTCAGCAGGTTTGGGCTGAATTCCTGCTTCAGATCTGAACAAGGTAGTAGTAGTTGAAGGTGGAAAAGGCTGCTCTCCTTCCCTGCCAAGAGCACCTGTTGCCTGTCCTAAGCCTCTGAGATGCTGCTGAAGGGCTGCCATGCTGGTGCCCATGCCTGATCCACTGGTCTCAGCCCCCTTGGTGGGACCAGACCCGAGTCTGCTCCTCATCAAGGCGACAGGCCGTTTCATGCTCATCCATTTTCTTGTTCGTTGGCTATGGAGTATGAGCAGATGCACTCGCTGGGGTGAAGCTAAGACTCTACAACCAAGCTCTGCAACTCCCGAAGCCCTCCCCTTCCTCCTTCTGATGTCCTCTTGTACGGTGGATCCATGAGGTGTCACCCACAGCAGCTGCGGACAGAGGATGTTTGCTGGTCACCAAGGATCAAGCTGAAAGCAGAAGATTCAGTTCCCCTCCATCCACTGGACTCCATGTGATGCAAGAGCCACTGGAGAGCTGGGGAAAGGAGTGGCACAGAAAGTGTCCTCTCCCAGCTGTCTTCATCAGGTCTTTGGTGTATTTCTTCTCCAGCTGGTGATGGTGGACTTGATCTCAACCTCTGCCAAGCCTACCTCTTCCCACACCCCTGCCAGGATGGGAGCAGCTTCTCCAAAAGTCATTTGCTGTCAGCTGGGCACCCTATGGGCGACAGACTATCCACCCATGCTAGGCTTGGGGCTGCAGAGATCCTCCTTGTCCTAGCAGGGCTATGCGGTGAGTGCTCTTGTGTTTTCCTCCACATCCCCCCTTCCCTGCTGCTGGCTGCATGCTGCATTTTGGGACATGGCATGCCAGAGCGCTGCTGCTTCTTTTCATTTCTGGGCCATTTGATTGTGGTGGTTGTAAATTTGTAAGGTGCATGCTTGGAGAAGCACCTATAGTTTCATGGTTAAGGTGCACATGTAGACCAGCACCTGTGGTTTCATGGTTTCTTAAGGTGCACATGTAGACCCTATGGTTTCATGGGTGCTTCTACAAGTAGGGTAGAGGCAGACATGCCAAGGCCAGCTGCATGGCACAGCTTTCCTCCAGCTGATGGCTGCAGAAGGCTTGAGGCTCTCTCAAAAGTGCCAGTATCTTCTAGAAGGTGGGCACCACAAAGGAGGGAGGAATTTTTATGGCGGTAGAGTCGCACAGCGCATTAGAAATAAGCAGTGAAATGTGGCAAAGGTGTAGAAACCAAGTGCACTGACTGTGTCACTGCCATTTCAGTAGCACTGATGACGGGCTATGGAGCTCAGATGGCCAAAAAACGAGGAGGAATGGGATATACCTGCCCTGTGATGGGGAAGGAGATATCACAGTGTTGATGTGCTTGAGCCAGGCTGGTCTGAGGAAGCGGATGGGTGCTTGGAGAAAATAAGGGAGCCCTTTCCTCAGCTCCATTCCTTACCCTGAGGTCAAGGCTGTTCATCCAGCAAAGCCAGGTTAGAATGGGTGCAGAGTCCGTGGCACCTTGTGCTCTGGCTGCACCGTCTTCCTCAAAATCACTTCCACAAAGAGCCTGCAACTCAGTTACCCATGCTGGTATTGTGCTTATGGAATTCATCCTGCAACCTGTGCAGAGTCAAGCACTTAAAAAGCAATTAGCAGTGCGCTTAAAAGGCAATTAGCAAAATGTCTTAATGTAATTTGGCTTTCCTGTTTATGAGGGAAGGTGTATTCTCAGCTGGAAATGCCTGGAGTTTGCTCAAAGGCCAGCTGCCATGTGTCCCCCTGAAAATAATCATAATAAAATTATAATTGTTCATGTCTTTCCCTCTCTCTTGCTTGTTCTTTCCCATTCCTTTTGGGCAACAAGTGTCAAGATGCTTTGCCGGCTGCTGCCTAGCCTCCTTTGCATGATTTCCCACTAACGTCTCCTTCCCTTTGCTCTCCGTTATTGCCAGCATCAGGTCCTGCCAACATAAGGCTGGTGAATGGCCCCGACTCCTGCACAGGCCGGCTGGAGGTGTTTTACAATGGCACCTGGGGGATGGTGTGCGACGACCACTGGGACCTCAACGGAGCCCGCGTGGTCTGCCAGCAGCTGGGCTGCGGGACAGCGCTGTCGGCGGAGCTCGCTACGGGCAAGGAGCAGGCCCCATCAGGCTGGACAACGTGCGCTGCGCCGGGATGGAGGCCACCCTTTCCAAGTGTCCGTCACGCCCCTGGGGAAGCCGCAACTGTGGGCGCGGTGAAGATGCCAACGTTGTGTGCTCAGGTGAGGAACATGCACCATGGCTTGCATCAGCCGCTCTGGACAACCAAAGGGTTAAACAGCAAGCAGGACACCTGTCTTGCCCCTTGCTATTGATTGGTAGCCCCTTCTTTTTGACTGGTAGCCACTTCTTGTTAGTGGTTGCCCTTTGCTGTTGACTGGTAGCCACTCTTTGTTGACTGGTTGTCGCCTTGCTGTTGACTGGTAGCAAATTCTTGTTGACTGGTAGCAAATTCTTGTTGACTGGTAGCCTCTTGCTGTTGACTGGTTGCCCCTTGTTGTGGACTGGTAGCCACTTCTTGTTGAGCGGGTGTCCTCTGATTGTACAGTGAGCGTATGCACCCAGCTCATAGACACATACCTATGGCCACTGGCAGGTAGGATCCTTAATTTTGAGCTGGATCTGGCCGCTACAGGCAGGCAGAATTACTCCCTACCTAATTTTGCGAAGAGTTAGCCTCTGCACACCATTGCTCCAGGCAATTTCCAAATGCTGTTCTCGCCTTTCAAAGCTCTCCACATCTCCTGGCATTGAGGCTGCAGCTCCTTGGCCATTTCTCAGCCCAACTGCCTCCTGGCTTCACGGGGATGAACCCGTTCACGGGCTCAGCCTGTCAGATGCCATCTGGGCTTGCTGGGCAGGAGACCCTGCTTCTAAGCATTGCTGGTGATGGCATGCCCAGCAAAGTTTCTGATTGTTTGCTCCCCAGGGATGTTTGCCGGGGCACGTGCTCCAGGTTCAACTCATACCAGGCTGATGAATGGCTCAAGTTTCTGCACTGGCAGAGTTGAAATCCTCCACAATGGCAAATGGGGCACCGTGTGCGACAACAGCTGGAGCCTGATGGACGCCGAAGTGGTGTGCAGGGAGGTGGGCTGCAGCCAAGCACTGTCAGCTCTGTTCAGGGCTGCCTTCGGGCAAGGATCGGGGCCCATTTGGCTGGACAAAGTGACCTGTGCTGGGACAGAGGCTGCCCTTTCTCTGTGCCAGGCCAAGTCCTGGGGAAGCCATAACTTCAACCATGGAGAGGATGCTGGCGTTGAATGCACAGGTATCTCTTGACGCTTGCCCCATCAGGACTGGCAGCCAGGCTATCATAGTCTTTTTTTCTTTTTTTTTTTCCTTTTTTTTTTGAGGGAGGGGTGGAGAAAAGAGCATAAGACCTTTGAAATGATCCTGGGTGTAGATGTTCCCATTGCAGTCTTGCCAGTGGAGGCAGGAAGAATCCCCTGATGGATTGGGTGTGTGCTGAGGAAGGGAAGAGGGAGCTTTGCAGGGGACGTCCATTCAGATGCCACCTGCCAGGGAGGGTGATGAGTTTGGGGAGGTGGTAAGCGCCTGAGGGGAGCCTGCTTTTCTCATTTTGCGTGGGCAATCTTCTCACTCTCCAGCTGTGAGGTTCTGGGATGGTTGAAGGACTGGGCAGCTCCAGCCCTGTCACCTCTCCTGGGACATCCAGATGTTTTTGGCACTTGTCTCTTTTCAGAACCAACTCAGGTCCGACTGGTGAATGGCTCCAGCCGCTGCTCAGGGCGAGTCGAAGTTCACCACAACCAGGAGTGGGGGACAGCGTGCGATGACAACTGGGACCTGAGCGATGCTGAGGTGGTGTACCGGCAGCTGGGCTGTGGGCTGGCTGTGTCAGACCCTGGCAGGGCTCTGTTTGGGCAAGGACACGGTCCCATCTGGCTGGATGAGGTGAGCGGCACAGGGATGGAAGGTGCCATCACTGAACGCAGCTTCAAGCGCTTGGGAGGCCATAACTGCAACCATGGTGAAGGTGCAGGTGTCATATGCTCAGGTAAGCCTAGCCCAGGTCATGGCTTCAGGGAAGAGTTTTTCTGCAGGCACGCTTGCATCTTATTTCAGTTTGCTTCTCTCTGCACCCATTGTTGGGTGTAACGCCATTGCAAGCAACAATCAAAAATACTCAGTAGGTGAGGTAGCTCTGCTTCTGTAGGCATCATATCAGTGGACTATCTCCATGCACTCCTGCCCATTTGTGGTAATCCTCTGTCTAACACCTTAAAATGTCAGTTCTCAAGTGGCTTACCGTGTCCATCATGCACGCCTGCTCTGGACGTTGAAGTGCATGCAGTCAGAGGAGGCATTTGGCCATCAATGTTTGCCATGTGTGGCTGCAGGCTTCTCCATCTCTATGTCTGAAGTTTCTTCTGGATCTCTAGAGGTAGTGCAAGATGGAAAGACATCCCCCCATCCCTCCAGCTTGCAGTGGGATGCCAACCCTGTCTTACCAGAAGACAAAACCTGGGTGACTTCAGGGAATATTTGCAAGGAGCTGCAGTAGAGCAGAGCAGACAGAAGCTGCATGGAAAGACTCCCCTCCTTGGCAGAGCCAAGCCAGTCCAGGCTTCTTTTGGCTCGAGTAAATCAATGCAGGTTTTTGAAGTCTTTCCTTGTTAGATATGTTCTCCAAGGGAGATGTAGTCACCCTAGCAGACCTCCAAAGCATGCTCATGGTTTGGACATGGATGTCCAAGAGTCTTCTTGGCATCACCCAACGGAAACGCTCTCTGTGAGGCATCCCACGGTGTTTTTACCTTCTCCTAAATACAACCAGGTCTTTCTGTTGCCTCCAACTGAAGATGCTGATGTGGATGGGGGAAGCATGATTATGCTCTCACCCTTTGTACAGTTGCATGTCATCACCAACACCAGCAGAGCTTCTACTTCAGAGGGCTGAAGTGCACCATGTCCCCATTTATTAATTTGTCTCATTCCCCTTTTAGACCCCACAGAGCTACGGCTGGTGAATGGCCTGAATCACTGCGCTGGGCGCCTCGAGGTGCTTCACAACCAGCAGTGGGGATCCGTGTGTGACAACGACTGGGACGTGGAGGATGCCGAAGTGGTGTGCCGGCAGCTGGGCTGCGGCGCTCCAATCTCTGCTCCAGGCTGGGCTAGGTTTGGCATCTGGCTGGATGAGGTGAACTGCACAGGGAGCGAGTCCGCCCTCTCCGAATGCAGGGCCAAGCCAAAAGGAGTCCACAAGTGCCACCATGGAGAAGATGCTGGTGTGGTGTGCTCAGGTAGCTGCTCTTCCAATCACTTGACAGTGTTGATACCCGCGAGCTCATTAGTTTTCCTTGCTTATCTCTGATGGTGTTCTTTCCACACGGGAATCCTCAAATCTCTAACTCTGAGTCAAAACAAATCCTAAACACGTGTGGATTCATCCTCCATCTCACATCAAACACTTGCTTTCTCCATCCATCCTTGTGGTCTACCACCACAAGGCAACACCTTTCTTATCTTTCCATTTCAGACCCTACTGAAGGTCTGGCTGGTGAATGACTCAGATCACTGCTCTGGGAGAGTTGAGGTGCTGCACAACCAGCGATGGGGAAGTGTGTGCGATGATGGCTGGGACCTGGATGATGCAGAAGTGGTGTGCCAGCAGCTAGGCTGTGGGATGGCCATAGCTGCTCCACCCAGAGCTCAGTTTGGGATGGGGTGCGAGCCCACCTGGCTGGACGATGTGAACTGCACCGGCACCGAGGCTGCCCTCTCCAAGTGCAGGGCCAGACCATGGGGAGAGAGTAACTGCAACCACCAAGGAGATGCCAGCGTGGTGTGCCAGGGTAAGCCACCTCGTACTCCGTCATGGTGCAGCTCTGGCAGGAGCAACATTGGCGCGTGGATAACTCAGTGGAGAAATACGTCTGCTCTGCTCATATTAAGCCTCTTGCATGTGTATAGGAACCAGTTTCAGGCTGTCTGAGAGCAGCAGCTCCCCTTGGCCACCGTGAGGACTTTCTCCCAGGAGAACAAGTGAGACTCCCCAACCACCACCTTGCTCTCCCTTATAGCCCCTTAACTGGTCCCTCAACTCTTCTGCTATGAGCATCCTTTCCTTTTTTGTACGTGCACAGTGCTAACGCGACATGCATTGTCACCGTACTGTAAAGTCCATTGAACCTCCCCTCTACCTTGGGTCCATTTTGTCTGGTTGGACTGCCAGGACACCAGCATCTAGTGCCACTTGCAATGTGCTGGCCTCCTGCCACCACTCCAGATGGGAGTGGATCCCCCATTCAGCCCTGTGTCACAGCAGCCCCCTCCTCCTGGGTTTCTTGGATGCCTGAGGGCACCTAAAATGGGATTAGAAGGCTGTGTTTATGCTGGTGACAGTCTCCACATCACCTTGCAGGTGGACACCATTTAAGGACCCATCTTCCAATGCACAGGCAAGAAACACCTGTGCATCTGACCTCGACATGTTTTTTGTAATTCCAGGACCAACTCAGCTCCGACTGGTAAGCGGCTCCAGCCACTGCTCCAGGAGGGTCAAAGTGTTTTATAACCAACAGTGGGGGACAGTGTGTGACAACGGCTGGGACCTGAGCGATGCCAAGGTGGTGTGCCAGCAGATGAGCTGTGGAGAGGCCGTGTCAGCTCCAGGCTTAGCTCAGTTTGGGCCAGAGTCCGACCATATCTGGCTGAGTGATGTTGAGTGCGCAGGGGCAGAAGCTACCCTCTGAATGCCGGTCCAGCATCAGGGAACCTATTAATTGCCACCATGAGGAAGATGCTGGTGTTGTGTGCTCAGGTAATTATTATTTTTTCTGGAATTACATTATTTAGGGGAACATTGGGCTGTGTGGCTGGAAAGCAGAAGGATGATTTTGCTGGTGACATGATCTCCTCTGAGCCTGGATAGCACTCAACCCCATGGAACAGCTCAGGTTGCTCTTCTGCAGAGGTCTGTCCACCTCGTTCGGTGACTGGTCTTGCTGATGAAACCCTGGGGGAGTGGAGTAACCGAGCAACCTGAGAAATGCTGAGTACAAAAATCTTAGCAAAGTAGTGAGAGACACATGAACAAGCCTTCAAGAAGATGGGAAGAAAGAGGCTTTACTTAGAATCCTAGAGGGTGAGATGTAGAATTTGTTGCAATCCAGAAAACCACCAAAAGCTGCTGGATTGAGGGCAGGGTAGGAAGAAGGGACCCATCGTACAAACACACCAGTGGTCAGGAAGGGAAGAGCTTTACAAATTCTACTGCTTTTATCCTTTTCCTGCAAGCATGTCTGAATTTTCTCTGTTACAGCAGTTTTCTCATTGTAGCTGACATTTAATTAAAGCCTAGCTTTAAATATCCACCGTCCCTCTGGTGTTTGGGGATGTTCAATGCAACTGTAGGACCAAGCGTGTCGTTCTCAAAGGTCGGTTGCCAGTGGCATAAAAGGAGCAAAACTGGGTGATGTGTATTAGCCACTATGAGCAGTGCAGGTGTGGAAGGAAACCTCCAAAAAGGGTCTTCACTTCATCCTGTTTCATCCCCCGCAGTGTTGCGGCTGGTGAACGGCTCAAGCCTCTGTGCTGGCAGAGTTGAAGTGTTCCACAAGCATCAGTGGGGAACTGTGTGTGATGACAGCTGGGATGAAGAGGACGCCGCGGTCGTGTGCTGGCAACTGGGCTGTGGGATGGTGGTCTCAGCCCCTGGTGCAGCTTGGTTTGGGCAAGGGAGCAATACCATCTGGGTGGACAACATGAACTCCACGGGGAGAGAGGAGACCTTCTCAGAGTGCCTGTCCAGGCCATGGGGGACACACAACTGTGACCATGGGGAAGATGCTGGTGTGGTGTGCTCAGGTAACGTGGCCACCATTGGTTTGGAAAAGGGTCTGGGCATGCCCCAACCCTGGAAAAATTCAAGGTCAGGTTGGATGGGGCTCTGAGCAACCCGATCTGGTTGAAGATGTCCCTGCTCAGTGCAAGGGGGTTGGAGTAGATGACCTAGGGTCTAGAGCATGAGTCTTATGAGGAATGGCTGAGAGAGACAGGGTTGTTTATCCTGGAGAAAAGGAGGCTCAGGGGAGACCGTATCAGTCTCTGCAACTACCTGAAAGGAGGTTGTGGCGAGGTGGCTGTTGGTCTCTTTTCCCAAGTAACAAGGATGAGGGGAAACAACCTCAAGTTCTGCCCAGGGAGGTTTAGATTGGATATTAGGAAAAATTTCTTCACCAAAAGCGTTGTCAAGCATTGGAACAGACTGCCCCAGTGAAGATGTGAAAGTCCCCAAGGATGGAGATCCAAATGTGTTTCTTGTCTCTGTTAAAATATTTAACCATCCTTATGGGGGAAAAGAGTATTTTCTGCTGCCTAATGGGAATTTGCCACAGTGTACACTGTGCCTATTTCCTCTTGTCTTTTGGACATCCGTTTTATCTCCTGAATCAGCTCTGGATGAAGAGATGTTTGCTTTCTCCCCACAGCCTCTGTTACCATCAGACCTCCGCAGCCTCTGCCGCTGCTCCCATTGCTGGTCTCCATCATCCCTGCAGTCTTGATGCTGGTCTGTGGGGCTCTTCTGTACCAGAGGAGGAGGTGAGTGCAAAACAGGGCTTTTAATTCCTCCCAGGGTGAGTTCTGCTGCGGGTGAAGAGGTCAACGGAGTTTGCAGAAGTGTGTGGTTGGAAACGAGTTTTGTTTAAAACATTGGTGTCAGCAGAGTTGGGGCAGAAGGATTTTTCCCCATGGCTCATCTTGAGAGGAACTTCCTTTTCTGGTTTGACCTCTTCTCCTCCTGTCCCCTTCCCCTTTTGCTTTCTTTCCATTCTTCCGCTTTCACTTTGACACCATCTTCCCTGCTGGGTTATGGACATGCTGGGAGGTGGGACAGCCCTTGAAGCCTCCTCAAACAATGCCCATGCTTCCCTCTGCTGCCTGTGCTGCCTGTACATCAGACAGGAGCTCTGAGCAGAGGATGGCTCTATAGGTTCCTAGCTCCCCATTGGCAAGGGATGTTCCACCTTTAGCCTGAGGGGTGAGAAAAGACCAGGACTTGTGTCTGTTCCTGAAGTTTTAAGGCTGTGGTTAAGACTCTTGGAAAGTGGAGTTGAGCAGTTCGGGTTGCCTGTGTTGAACATCCCCATGTTGTCTTGTTGAACGTCCATCACGTTGAAGAAAGGTGCTCTGTGTGGACCAAATACTGGATCAAGGGTGGTTTCTGCAGAGGAGGCTTTGTGTCTGAGTACTGGCAGGGGCGATGGTGGTATGCCCTGTGCTGCCACTGTGGTTGGCCAAGCCAAAAGGATTTGTGCTGCCTCCAACGGAGCAAGCATCCTCAGTTGGTCTTGTCAAAAAGGGGAAAATTCAGGCTGTGTGGAGCAAGACATCAACTGAATCACCGTGCTCTGCAGGTTTTGTGCGCATGGAGGAGCTGTTTGTCTCTGACACGTCCATCTCAATGCCTGGAGAAGAGCAAGCAGCAGCCAAGATGTCTGCTGCTGGGGATGCCAAAAACAAGAGAGCTCAGCGCAGCCTGTGACCAGCCCAGACTGAAAACTACAGTGATGCAGCTCCGTCCCAGCACACAGCTCTTTCACCAAGGGCCCTGGACCACCTCATCTCTACAGAGCTAGGTCACTAGATCCACCACCCATCTCCATGCCCACCTCGGTCAGTTACCCTGAGCGATACAAGGCGTGACATACACCATGCGACACCAACAGTCTACATGCAGAAGACAGTTGATGAGTACAAATTTAAATTTTTTTTTTTAAATTTGTTTCAAATTTTTTTTTGTGCGTTTGTAGAAATAAAAACATTCTCTAACCCTCGAGCCGTGTTTTCCTCTT